TTACTTTCTATCTATGCACATAAAATATTCAGCACAAAAACGGTAATGTAGGCGAGCGCACAAACGTAAAGAGAAAAGAAAGAGACCCACAAAATGAGTTATCAGCTGTTAGTAGTAGACTTTGTTCTCTATCCAAATTTATACTGAACACAACAAACGATGTCACCATCTGTTCAATTCATTCTTTTCACCTATATACACTTCTACTTATATATGCTTTTCTTTTTTATTTTATACTTTGAATTTATTGAAAACTATTATTATAACACATGTTTCTCCTGTATATAAATGCTAAGAAGGAAAGAAAAAGAATGATGTATTCTCATTAATCTATTCAAATATTTGTATAAAATAAAAAGGACAGCTTTTTATATTCAATTAGAAATTTTCATATTGCAAAACAAATTTCTGATACTTAAGAACGAATAAAAAATTTGATAGGCAATTCTAATTATACTACACCAACTGTTCTTATTCATAAATGTATACACTATTTGTTAGACCTTACAAAAAAATCTTATTCTCAATCATTACAATGTAAAGTTTCTATTAACTATTTAAATAGATAAATAAAAAAAATCAATTGTAAATTACCTTTAATATTTAAATAAATTCTTAAGAAAAATCGACTACAAATATAGACCGTAATCAAATGAATAAAACAGGCACATCAAAATTAAAAATAATTCAATCTAAAAACATAGAAAAAAAAAAAAAAGAAGATTACTAACAAATTCTCTTCTTGTTTGTTCTCTTTAGATTAAATTCATTTGATTAATATCAGTAAATCATTGTTAAAATAAATATCCCCATAGGAAAGAAAAAAGGAGAGAGAGAGAGTGACAGAAGAAAAAAAAAGAAATATCTAAAATTTTTTTTTCCGAGTATTCTAAAATATTCGACTGTTCATTTATATTTATGATACAATTTAAACAAAAAAATTCATTCAATATCCCTGATTCCCGTGTATGACTAAATCGTATATAAGATAGAGATAAATAGAAAGCAGAAGCAAAGAATCTCACTGTTACACATACAAAATAGAACACATATCACTTAAGCACAAAAACAAAAACAACAAAAACAACAACAAAAATCATTTTTTTTTTTGTTTTTCTTTTTTTCCTTTTTACCAACCCGCATTTGCACTACTAATCTACAAAAAGAAAAATATTTCTAATAAACAAACAAACAAACAACAACAACAACACAGTGTATATATTATCGAATATCCGTGTCGAATGTATAATGTTGCGAACGTATATATGGATAATTAAATTGCTCATCATCAATAACATTATCATAAAATGATGATGTTCGTCTTAATTTTTCAATTCTATTATCATGTATAAATGACGTTGTTATCATATGCGATATTTGTATATGTTCGTCATCATCAATAATATCACTTTTTGAACTTATTGTATCATCATCACGATGTTCCTGTCTTTGTTTATAACCACTTAATGATGGATCAGCACTTGATAATATAGTACAACAATCATATTCAGTTAAATATTGTTGATCACTTATTTGATATGGTTTAGTTAAACGTTTTATTTCAATATATTGATTTTCAATAGATGTATCACGTAGATTTACTATTGATGGTGAATCATCATCAGCAGTTGCTAATGGTGCTGTTGATGAAACAAGATATGTTTCAATAATAGGTATAGGTAAACATTTTGGTGATATTTCTGTTGTTATTATACGTGATGAAGTATTGTTTTTATTTGTTGTTGTACTAATTGGTTCTGAAATTTTAAGAAAAAAAAATGTTTTTTTTTTTTTTTTTTTTTTTTTTTAACGAATTTTAATTATATAAATCAACAGAACTACTTCATAAGAATGAAGGAAAAAAACAGCAAAGTATTTTGACATACACTAATGATTTCAGTCATGTGTTTGATAAACAACTCAAATGAGTCTCAATAGCATACTTCCGACATTGCCGTCGGCATAGTTATTTGGTATTCATCTTTTTTTTTGAATACATGTCTATAAAGTATCTGTAGAGAGACTTACTTGTTTCATCTGATGTTGTTGTTGGGTGTGGGTGTTTATTTGAATTATTATTAGCTAATTTTGTAATATCACCCATTGAAATATTAAACGGTTTTATTGGTAATTCATTTTCTATTGGTGGTGGTAATGATAGTAGATTATTTTGTTTTAATTTTTCATAACATACAATATATTCTTCAATTATTTCATCAATTGTTAATGATGAATTAGAAAAATTCTGACATAAATCGTTTTTTAAAAATGAATTAATACTATCAAAAGTTTTTAAATGTAAAAGTTTTTTTCTATGTATACGTAATATACAAAACGCTGTTGTTAACAAAACTTGTTCACCATCTAATACAAATATATCCCATATACGAAGTGTTAATGGAAATGGAAGACAATCTTAATAATAATAAGAAAAAACAAAATATTTTATTATTAAGAATCAATTGAATTAATACGCGTCACTGAGTTAATATTTCAATCTTGTTTTTCTTCTGCTATGCTCTGTAACTAACGTCATCTATCGAGAAAAAATGTGATGTTGTTTTTCTTTAACTAGTTATGGAAGTAGATATGGGCAAGATGGCCTCGAGCGAATTTTAAGATTTAGACTGAAACCGGGACTAGGACCTACGCCTTTAATCGTGGTATAAAACTTGCCCCGAGACTAAACAACGACTGATCTTCTTTATATCAGGCTAATGACTTATTATGTGGTTTGTATGTCTAACGAAGAACGAGAATTGCCAAATGTTTTTTTACATTCACTGTGTTAATTATAACTCCATTTCGAACTTTTTCACTCGGATGAATATCTACTAAAAACAAATTCAAACAATATGAAGTATCAACTAGAGAGTTATATAATCAAATAGTTAATTAGGAAGTATAGCTATTGTATAATGTCTTTAGTTTGAGTCGTATTTATCTAGAAGCTATTGATGACGTTCGTAATATTTCTAAACTCTTGCAGATTATTTCCGTTCTATGTTATCAGAAGTTGACTAAATACCCTATGTCGTAAGCATATAAACATGACGTGTTAACTAAACTTCATAATTAACTATTAAATTAGACAACTGTGGACTGATAGATCAGCTTATTTTTCAAATTTTGCTTCGTAGATATTTATGTCAGTGGGAAAAATTTATACCGAATACTTTTCACATTCGGTATACAAACATATAGCTCATAGAATAATAAATCATTAGCATGATATGTATGCTATAATGGGTGAAAAAAACAAAAAAAAACTGGCATTTTCTGTCATGTGGATAAAGAAAGATAAAAATAATTTCAGAGATTAGCTCAACTAGTAACGCTCATTTATATATATATACCAAGATAACACAGCATAAACCAGCGAATTGTATACAAATCACTTTGAACTTGATATGTAATAAAATGTTTATAAACTTTTGGTAACATTTTTTTCATAATTTTTTCAAATTGTGCTTGAAAACGAAATAATTTTGGAAAGCCAGGACAAAAAAATCCATGCATCATCCAACGTGAACCAGTCATTAATTGACAAAATGCCCAAAATGCTTCTTCTTCAGGTAAATAAAAAAGAAGAAAAGCAACAATTTGATTCATACCTTGAGTATAACCTATTTCTGTATTGTACACACTAAAACAGCAAAACAAAAACAATGAAAATATTTTCCATTCAACATATTTCTTTAGTTTTTATAAAAATACTTTTTAAATGCTTGATGAAATATTAACTTTAAAGTTGTATTTAAAAGGAAATAAGATATAGAAAAACATTTCCGAGAGGAAAATAATTCTGAAGATATTAAAAAACATGAAAGACTATAATGCTTTTGTCTTTACATGTGGAATCGAGCTCATAATTTTTTTTCTAACTAAAGAAGATATGTGACATATTGTGAATGCTTCATAGTTTTTTAAACTTTTATATTAATATAACATTCTTTATTTTGATTATTATTTATCATAGTAAAGAATCGATTTCAGAATCTAAACATTTATATTATCAGTTTATGTATCCGTATACGAAAAGTAAAATTTTTCTTTTTACTACTAGATTTATTTCCTAATAAAAGTAAATACTCTATATATGTACGTGGAATTTTAATTTAATAAATTACTTAAATTTCAAAATATCAAAAATGTTTTAAGATGAATTAAATATCAAAGAAACTTTTTCAACAGTATTACAAAATAACTCGAAAAATCTTACATATTTTCATTAATTTACTCGTCAAGAATTTTAAATCAATTCTATATCATTCAATAAATAACAATACCTGTATGCAGCTAATATTGAAAATAAATGTTTTTGTCTTAAACAATATCTATTACAAAACATTTGATGATTTCTATATGTTCGATGTACATCGAGATCAATCTGACTTAAATATGTTGATGATAATTGTGCTTTTCTTTTTAATATATCATAATAACCTTTATTAACACGTAATTGTTCATCAAGATCAAATAACCGGGACCAAAATGCACCACGTAATGTACCAGGTAGACCTTTAAACATACGTCTACGTAATTGTTCATTATCTCTTGTTATTGTATGATTTGCTTTTTTTAACATTTTATTCCAACGTTCACTCCGTTTTATTTCTTGTTGTATTTGTTTACGTTCATTGATTGTCAATGATTTTATTGGTTGATCATGTATAAAACCATAATGATCTATACAATTTGGATCAGTTGTTGAAAGACGTGGTGTCTGTTGTTGATTTGTATCATGTATTAAATCTGATAGTTTACCTTCATTTTCATAAAGAAGAAAAAGTTTTTCACGTTCATCAATTTGTTTTTTAAGATTTTTATCAATATGTGTTAATATAGGTGTTGATGGTCGTAATGGTAATGGTGGTGGATTACTTGTTATTGATGACTGTTTCATTCAAATCTAGAAATGTAAACATTTGACTTTCATATTTGACAAGAATTTTGTAAACTTTTTTTTTTTTGCATATGAAAAAAAAAGAAGAAAAGTTTTAATCAAATGAACCATCAAGAAATTCATATAATGGATTTGTATTTATTGAACTAAATATATGTAAACGATCTAATCGTTTTGATGCACATTGCTTCATTGAACTATGAGCATCACGTGTTAACATACGAATAAATTCTTCTGCTGCTAATGTTAATATATAAACACTATCTTGACTTATCATACGTGTATTATTATCAAGTTTAATTATTGATTTAACTTTTGTTAATGGTAATTGATATGAACGTGTTGATGTAGATTTTATCTGATCATTTGACGAAGCCATTTTTTTTTTTTGTATGATTAACAAAAGAATTACTAATAATAAACAATTCTGCGTTTTTTGTTTTTTGTTATGTTGTTGTTTGTTATAGGAACCAATGAAAAACAAAGTTAGTTTAATTTAATAAATGATTTTAGTTTAATTTTCAAATGATTTTATATTTTATTGTGTTTTATTTTAGAAAATTTAAAAAGATTTGCTTTTTTTGAATAGATGTCGCTAATATGAAAAGAAGATTGGTTGAATAATAGAGATATGTTGTTTGAATTTTTTTTCTTCTTCAAATATAATAACAACATTTGTCAAGCAACATAAATCGTATTTAATTAATTATATGTAAATATTTGGAAGAGAGAAAAAAATGTTATCAAGTTTACGATCTTGATCAGATAAATTTTTTTTAGTAAAATAATCAATTAGTACATTGACAGTGAATTTTTGAAATTTTGCTTTATTTAGTTGATTTTTTACTTGTACTAGAGAATTTAGATGGTGAAAAAATATTATTTATATTATATTCTGTTTCAGATTCAATAGATTTTAGCCGTTGGAATATTTGAATACAAAAAGAACTTTAGTGATTTAGTTATGTAAGTTACAGAAAGAATATCACTAAAGATAAAAAAAATTATAGACTACAAATATTAGCAACAAATAATTTTCCAAAATTAAAACTAACCTGATGTATAATTAATAAATACTCAATCATTAACAAATTAATATTGATAACAACTTCATCCGTTATCAACGTATTTACGTGAAATTCTAACAGTGTGTCCTAGTACACTGTGTGTATACGAGTAAAGTGTACAATAATAAAATTGTTTTATATAATATATTAAAAAAACAGAGGAAGAAAAATCCTACTTTTTTCGTTCGATGAGTAACACCTATTTATAATAACAAGAATGATAAGGGAAAACCCGTAGTTTTGTTTTTTTTCCTTATGTAAGCAAAGAGTGAGATTGAAGAATAGAAGGAAAAAAAAAGTCAAGTGTTCTAAAATAAAAGAATAAGTTATATTTATTACTTTTCCACTTAAAATTTCATTTAATCGTCTTGCAAGCAAGATGTTATTTTGCTCCGTGAAATGTACTGTGTACACTGTGATTTTTAAGCAATGTATGAAACAACGTGTATATCGAGAGCCGCAAATGTCCTATACATTTAATCGTTGTTTAGCAGATCGACTATTAAAAACATGGTTCGTAATTCTGGTAAGCTTTTATTTTTTTATTGTGTGTTTTTCGATAGGAGAAACTGAAATTACTTGATAATCTAATGAAGGTTTCCGAAGATTTGCATGTAATGCTAATATAAAAGAAAAACAGATTAACAAGAAAAATGTTCAGTGTTGTTTTTTCTTACATAGGAGATTATTTTGTTTAAGGTAATGATGAATTAAAAAAGCATAGCATTCCGATATAAAAATTGTAATCAAAAAAATTTTCTATATTTTGTTTTTTCTCTTATGTCTAGTAGTTAGAATGGATATTAATAAAAAATATAAAAAAATATTCCTGATTGCTATCATAATTTTATTTGACACACTATGGAAATAAGGTTAAAGTGGTCTGTATATAGAATGTGAAATATAGCATTGATTTTATTTTCTATAATCATCGGAAAACTATTTTATGAGATTAATTTCATGGTTTTCTTTTCAAAAATTGTTGTTGGCAGAAAAATCTCTCTTTCCGAACAAGACTATAAAGTATAAGATAGGATTTTTTTTCTTTATAGGAAATTTCTTTCTTGATTTATAGTTCGAAGACAGATACCCTAAAATTATATTTCTTTGTCAACGATGACAAGTGTATTTCAAAGATAAGTAAAAAAACGGAAACGAGCAACTTCCTGTTCGTTTTCGATTAATAATATCTTAGATATTTAGCCAAAGGGAAATATTAATCACGCATAATTTCCAAGTAGTAAAAAGACTGTTCTATGTTATTCATAGAATATCAAAGATTAATATTCTTATTTCTTTTTTTTTTGCTTCTTAGATATGTCTGCTTTATTATTAACATCAAATAGATCTTATTTCAAATTTCCACTGTATTCATTGTATCGTCATTTATCAATAATTGAACATCGTACTAATGATCAATTAATATTAACAACTGGTCATATAAATCTAACATCGAATTCCATACAAGCAAATGAATTGAATTTTTTAAGAAATCAATGTTATCAAAAACGTTATATAACTTTACATGTACCATCAACTAGTGAACAAAGTTCATCATCAAATAAAAATGATAGAACACCATTTCAATTTCCACCAGGAAATCCAAATGATAGACCAAAACTTGAACATTTACGTTATATTGAAAACCAACTTATACAAATTGTAAATGTTTAATTTATTAAGATTTATTTTTCTTTGTTTTAGTTTTTCTTTCTTGTTATTAAATATTTTTTTGCTTTTAGTTACCTGATTTTTGTAAACGAATGCATCCATATGCTTTATATACAGCTGATATTGTTTTTGAAAATTATTATGACGATCCACCCAAAATTATGAAGTAGGCAGAGAAAGAAAAAGGGTATTAGACAATGTATGTGTGATTGTAGATAGACATATGACAGTTTGAATAGTATTTAGACTAAATATGTGATTAATTAATTAAATATTTTTACTAAGCTATTTATTGATTAAACGAAAAATATTTTTTTTTCGAAATAAATCAATTCTATTTGTATTTTGAAACCAACAAACATTAAAGATAAGAAAAACAAAAGTAAAACAGTATACAGTCAATCGTTATTGTCTAAAACTGATCTAAAACTATCATATTTCTATCGTCAAGAATTAAAAAAAATACAATAGATTTTTATTTTTTGTTTTTTGTATTTTTTTAGAGGTGCTGGTAGTTATGCTTTAGCTCTTTTTTGGATTCGAACAAAATTAAATTTTAAATTGATGAATATAACCATTCATTTACTTAAAACAACAATCGATGAAGAATCTAATTGTGTTAAAATACGTTGGCGTATATCTGGTTTATCAAATAAATCATTTGTTGGTGTTCTTAAAGGTTGGAGAAAACCAAAAGATGTTGTCGGAAATATACGTGATTATATGGAGTAAAATATTTATGTTTTAAAAGAAATTCTTATCGAAAAATTTTTCTTTCTTTTGTTTTAAATAGATATATCGATGGTCTTTCAATATTTTATGTTCGCGGTGATGGTCGTATTTATAAACATCGAGTTGATCGAGTAATATAATCAAATTTTATGGTTTTTTTTTAATCTGTAATATTTTATTCTATTATATAAAGGTTATGGTTGATGAAGATAAAGAACTAGCTACATCACCATTCGATAAAAAGAAACTAGCTGCAGCGGCCCCAATATCTGTGTAGTATATCATAGTATTGTTCTTTCTTTTCTTTTTTTTTATTTGTTTATTAAAAAAAACTATAAGAAAATTCATTACTGGTGTTTTTTTAATTTTGTGACTAAATGACAAAGAAAAAATATTAAAACGACGAACATCTCTTTCTCATTTGTAGATTAATAAATATATTCTACGAAAACGGGTAAGTTGAACTTTCTATTAATGGCATTTATTAATTTTTTTCTTACTACAAATTTTCTTTTTTTGAGATTAATGTGAAAAAAAGAAAACAAAATCAGTATTGTCTTCTTTCTTTTACATTCTCTTCTATTTTGTTAAACAATATGAAATACGAACGATTGTTTTTTCTTTTGCAAGAAAATATTTTTCCAGTAGTGTATTGTAACTGAAGGCAAAAGGATTAATTCATGTTTTTCCTTTACTGTTAATTGATTGGCATAGCACATACTCCTATAAGAAAGATATTCCAGATCGAAATTATATTAAGTTTTTTTTGTCTCATCGTTGTAGTCTTATTTAATCTTATTAGGATATTTGAAATAAGAAAAAAATATGTCAACACACCGTACTCGGAATGCGGCACGTCATTTGAAAGCCGATATTAAAAATAGTATGCATATGCCAACACGATCAAAAGAACAAGCTACATCCCATACGTCACCAATAACCATGTCTAGTGGTAGGATCTATTGTGTTCTGTTTATTGAAACCTATTAAATAATGCTTCTAAAGCTTGTCTCGGTACATATTCGTTTTTGTCCCAATACGTCCATTAATATATAAATACGCATCTCTTTACTTAGTGCTCATTTATGATATAGTACAGCTGATATTGATTAGTGACCTTTTAGGTCTCTTGTGGTATGCTTTGGTCGAAATAGAAAGGAAAGAAAGAGAAAGAAAATGTTCTCTTTTTTTTTCGAATGTTTCTTCTATATATTATTGCTTTTTGCGCTATCTCGATCGACTTACTTGTGTTTAATATATGCGGCATTACTCTGCTTGTTTTCATCGTGGTTCGTTGTCTGTTGACTCTGGCTGTTTTTTTTCTTTTCTTTGCTCTTCTATCCTTTCGTTGCTGATAATCGTCTTGAATGTGATGCCACAACGTATGCGCAAAATCGTTTCAAAATGTCGACCACCATTTGTTCGATTACATCGATATCGACATTCAATCGCTGCTACCAATCATTGTATGTGTGAAAGTAAATTTTTATGCTTGTTAGATTATTTTTCTGTTCATTTTGAAATATAATCTTGAATGATCGAAAGTATATATATCATATTAGCTATATTTAATCGTTTTTGATTACGAAAGATTATGCAGATATTTTTATTATTTTATTTTTTTAATTGATATACTTATATTGCTCTATTTTCATTGTCTATATGCCTTTATCGGTTACTTTCCTATTGTTATTCTTGCTATTTATGCACGTACGCGTTCTTCTTTCACTTGCATTCGACTCTCGATCAATATTCATCTGTCTATTAGAAACATGCTCTATTACTAGTAGCTTATACATAATAATTCAAGCATAATTTATTTGATGACAACCATTATCAGGAGAAAAGCAAGAGCAAAACAATAGCATAGATAGTACAAAAGGAAAACAAGACAATGGGTTATCTAGCTCAAAATAATTGCTCGTCAATAGTAATAATACCGTATGAGCATAGCATGTGCTTGCATGCATATATCATCGCTTTGCCAAAAGTCAAAAACAAATTTAAAAAAAAAATCTGTGAAATGAAAAAATAACATTTTCTTGTTTTTCAACACATGTTTTATATTGGTCTATTTTTGCAGATCCAAACGACAAAACGTCTCTTTCCAATTCTCAATTAAATGTTGCCGGTAGTATTAAAAGATCGGGTAGTTCTTATCCAACTATATCGACACTAACATCTATATTCATTGCTCCTTCTTCAGTAACTGATAATTCGAGACTAAATAATTTAACAGACAGAGGCTTTGGTAATTCAAGATAACCAGAAAAAAAACTAACAAAGATATTTTCTTTTCTTTTCTATTATCAATAGATAATTCATCAAATTTATCGTCATCAAACGATTCAAAAATGTCGAATACAGTACTTTCATCATCGATGCAAAATTTAGCACTGCCTGGTACAATTGGTACTGGTATTGTACCACCACCTGTTCATTATCAACAACGATTACATATGCAATCAACAACACCATCAGTTGCAAATGGTAAAGATGATATGCGTGGATGGTTATATAAATGGACAAATGTAAATGAATTTATTCTTTTTTCTTTTGTTTTTTTTTAATTCTTTAAAATACAAAACTATTATCTTTTTTATTTTTTTAGTATTTAAAAGGTTATCAAAAACGTTGGTTTGTCTTACAAGCTGGTATACTTTCATATTATCGTTCACAAGATGAAATGACACATACATGTCGTGGTACAGTTTATCTTGAATCAGCACATTTATCATCAAATGATGCATGTCATTTTGTTATATCAAATGGTTCAACAGTTTTACATTTACGTACATCAACTGAAACTGATAAACAACGTTGGATGAGTGCATTAGAATTAGCTAAACAAAAAGCATTCAAAGCACGAAAACAATATCAAGATTCTGATGAAGATATTTCAACAGTTGATGATGCAAATGATCAACAACAACATCAAGTACAACAACAACAACAACAACAGGCTAATGTGAATGATCAAACTAAAACATTAACAAATACAAATGAACGGGCTGAATTAATAACAATGAATAAAACATTTGATTCAAAATTAGATGATCTTAAAATGTGTATGGATTTAATAAATCGTCATTATCAAGCACTTTATCGTACACTTGCTGATCTTGAACAAATTGATAAAACAGAAGCAACAGTAAATATAATAAAAAGTGTCAATGAACGTGCTACATTATTTCGTATTACATCAACAGGTAAATATTTTTTTAAAAGTCAAAATTACATGACTTTTTTTTTTTTCTTTTTTGGATAAATTAAATATTTATTAACATGTTATTTTTGTTCATTTAAATTAGAGTGAGAAAAAGTAGACTTTACTGATAACAACACGGAAACATTTTCCTGTTTCCGGTTATTTACTATTAAATATAAGATATCTTAAACTCATGTGAATCGGAAAAAATTGAATATTATGATCATTTTTTGACTGAAATGAGCTGATTATTTATCATCACTGATAAAAGCGTGTTCATAGTTCATAATCATAAGAAAAACTTTGATAAAAACTGTTTTAAAGTGTCGCATTGACCTTAATACAATTTCGGGGTTCTGAAAAAAAATCAATGAATGTATCTCAATGGCCAAAGCCAGCGACGTAGGTAATTTTTTCGAGCAATTTTCCATACTATTATCTTTTAGTCTTATATTTACATCAAAGACTCATGCCTTGCTACACATAGTGACCTGAAAGTTTCAGTCCGAAATGCTAACAATTTGTTGAAAAAACTGTTAATATGTCTCGTATCTAGAGTCTGTCTTTTCTTATGTGCCTCAAAGGAAATTTCCTTGTAATAATTATCTTGCTATCATTTCTAGTTTACTTGAACTTTTGAATAGGCAGAAATATTCTCACTTTGCAACTATCTTATTACACGTTTAACTAAACAAGATGCAAGAATTCATATACTGCATGAAATGATAACAAGATAAGTATTATATAAAAATTTTGGTTTTAGCTACATAAAAGTACATTTGATACATTTGCAGTTTTATCAATAGGATTTGATGTTTATGACTGAAACTTTGAGATATGATCAGAAATAAAATATGTATGTGTATCTTTGTAATAAATATGACATCAAACGGTGAATGAATATGACATTTATTTTGACCACGAAGATATTTTGTTTTTACAACTTATAAAAGGTGACTGCTTCCTATTGTTGAAGTCAACGGTCGTACTTAAAAAACAAAAACATTTTTTTTTCCGAATAGAAACTGTGAATACACTTTTATCAGTAGTGAAAATAAAATAGCCTATTTGTTCAAAATATATCAGTGCTATTCGATTTGTTTTCGGTAAAAAATGACCTTTGAGCCACTCTATATTTAGTTTGAATCAAAAATGAAGTCATTTTAATGAGATTTCAATCAATCAAAAAGAAACCTAAAGACCATTTGATTTTTAATTATTTTCGATTCTATAAAAAATATTTTCAAATCAATATTTCATACGCCAAAATAAAATCATTTTATGATAGTTAAACTCAGAATAGTTTTAATTGCATTGATATAATGAAAATCAAGTAAATAGGGAACTGCGAGTTCACGTTTTTATGTTTATTTATTTCATATATTAAACTTTTTTTTTTCTTTTTGTATTCACAAAATGATCGAATTACAAAACCTTTCACTATTTTGAAATTCAATCTTCCTTTAGCTATGCTTAATGCTTGTCAAGAACTTGTACAATTAATACAAAATCAAGGTCGTAAATGGCAAAAAGCTATTCAATTTGAACGTGATGCACGTTTACGTATGGAACGTATGTGTGAACAAGTTGCATCACAAACTGTTAAATTAGAAAAACAAATGCAACGTGCATCACGTATTGAAAACAAAAATCTTGCTGCAGGTCATTCATCACTAACAACAATGAAATCATCAGATTTACGTGGAACAAATGATGGAAATAATTTATCTGATGATGATGAATTTTATGATGCTATTGATGATCCACAAACAATTGGTGTTTTTCGTATTCCGTAAGTTTTACAAAGAACTTCTATATAAATATATATATATATATTGATTTTTAAAAGACTTCAACAACATATATCAAATAGTGATAAAGAATCACCAAATATTGTTGACGATGATGTTAGTTCATATGCTGAAGATGAAAGTGAATCAGAAGAACAAGATGAAAATAGTTTACCAATGGTTATTGTCAAAGGTAAGTATCTAATCTATTCATTTTTTTTTTATCTAATAAGAAAAGCAATGATATTTTAAATTTACATATTATAAATATTTTTTGTCCTAATTTAGCACCGAAAACAGAAGAAACAACAAATAATACAGCTACCACAACAGACACGAATGCTAATCAATCTGTACAAAAATCTGTGAATAATAATCAACAACAACAAGTAGCTATACCAAAACGTAAACGTCGTGATCGTATACCTGAACGACCAAATTATAGGTTTATATATTTTTTTAATTTTCTTATTAAAATAAATAATATTGAAAAATTTTTAGTATTAATTTATGGAGTATAATGAAAAATTGTGTTGGCAAAGATTTATCAAAAATTCCAATACCAGTTAATTTTAGTGAACCAATATCAATGTTACAACGTATAACAGAAGAACTTGAATATAGTTCTGTACTTGATATGGCAGCTAAAATAACAAATAATTGGGAACAATTAGCTTATGTTGCTGCATTTACTATTTCATCATATTCAACAACATCAACACGTGTTAATAAACCATTTAATCCTTTACTTGGTGAAACATATGAATGTGATCGAACGGATGATTTAGGTTGGAAATCAATAGCTGGTAAAGATCTATTTTTTTTGAAAATTTAGTATTCAATCAATTTAGAGATTTTTTTTTCTTTTTTTTTTAAATTTAAGAACAAGTTAGTCATCATCCACCAGCTTTATCAACATATGCGGAAGGTCAAGGATGGACATTGTATCAAGAATTTACAATGACATCTAAATTTCGTGGTCAATATTTAAGTATAACACCATTAGGTAAATATTTTTAAAATACTCATCGGATATGAATGTAGTGAAGATGCACATTCATTCTATTCAATCTTGAAATAAATATCAGATTTCATAATAAAGTCCCGAAATAAAAATATTGCTGGACATACGAACAATTCAGAGGATTGAATTGTTTAGAAATCAATGTATTTTTGTTATCTATGTGAGTTCATTAGAAATATTAACGATTGCAACTAAACTCTAATTGCTTAGATTTTAGTTCAGAATAGATCTTAATTAAATGTGAAGCATAAATTTAATTAAAATTTATATTCTTTAGTTAAGAAATGTTATGGATGATTTTCCAAATAAGTTTAGTATTTCTGAATTATGCAATTTTATTTCTTTTTTTTTTTTTATCCAAAGAAAAAAAAACTATAATATAATTTTCAAATATTTATTTTTTATTTTATAGGTTACTCACATTTAGTATTTAAAAATACCGGTAATCATTTTACATGGAAAAAAGTAACAACTCTTGTCAATAATATAATTGTTGGCAAACTTTGGATTGATAATGTAAATGAAAAAAAACAAGAAAATAAAAGAGCAACTTATTTAATTTGCATATTTTTTTGTTTCTTAGGTTGGCGAAATGGATATAATAAATCATACAACAAAAGATGTTTGTAAATTAAAATATTTTCCTTATAGTTATTTTTCAAAAGATGTTCCACGCAAAGTAACTGGTGTTGTTACTGATGCTACTGGTCAAGCACAATGGGTATTAACCGGTAAAATTAATTTTTTATTTTTTTTCTATTATAAATTTATTGTTCCTTTTTTCTTTGGTCTATAGGTACATGGACCGAAAAAATTGAAGGTGGTCCTGTTGAATCTACAGCAGGTCGTCATCCACATTCTCATCATATGGAAACCCGTAATATGAAATTATTATGGCAACGTAAAATGCCTCCAGCACATCTTGAAGCTATGTATAATTTTACTCAACTTGCTATTGAATTAAATGAAGATGAACCAGGTGTTGCACCAACAGATTCTCGTCGTCGTCCTGATCAACGTTTAATGGAAGAAGGACGTTGGGATGAAGCTAATCAACAAAAGTTACGTGTTGAAGAAAAACAACGACAAACACGACGTACACGCGACTCATCCGGACATGATTCATATGAAGCTAAATGGTTTAAAAAACAACATGATTCATTAACAGATTCTGAAATGCATATTTTTACACATGAATATTGGGAATGTAAACAAAAACAAGATTGGTCACGGTGTGATGATATATTTTAAATCAATGAAAAAGAAATTTTCTCACTTATCTATTTTCATTTGTTTTCATTCTTTTTTTAAATTTATTTATTATTAATAGAATCTTTCACTTTCTCTCACTTTTTTGTTTTCGTTTCTCTTGTTTATTGTTCGTACTGGTGTATTTTGTCTCTGATTTACAACAGAAAAAAAAAAACTTATATAAATATATATATATATATATATTACCTAAATTCTTTCTTATAATTCATGTGGTTTTGTTTTTTCCTTTTTGCTTTTCTTCTCAGTTTTATTCTTGAATCGTTAATTTCTCTGCCAACAAACTTTTATTGGATATGTATGCATCTTTTAAAAGGTTTTTATGGACTAACAGTTAACATTATCACTTGATTTTTTTTCTTTTTTTTTTTTCCATTGTATGATTGAATATATTTTAGATAAGGTGATGATACGAGAGAAAGAATAATATGATCTTAATTTATTATTAAAAAAACGAAAAAATTTAAAATGGGAGATTTAGAATGATTAAATTTGCGTTGGCTTTTGTTTTTGCTTGTTGTTCGGCACAGAACAGTCCGTTTAATGGTATGTAAATTTAATTCTATAGACTTTTTTTTGCTATAGGAAATCACATAGTTCGTGACATGTTTTCCGAGACAGTCTTTGGGTACATTTTATTGTATATTTCAATTAAGTTACAGTTAATCTAATAACATATTTATAAAAATTGATTGATCGAGCCGGTGTACATGATTGTCAAATTTTCCGAGGTTTTAGAAAATTTTTCTGTATATACACAATCAAATTTTGATTAATTGAAATTTCAAACATACAAGATAGATTTATATATGAAAATATGATATCAAGGATGGTTTTATGCGTTTTAATAATCAATGAAACCTTGCATTACTTCTGACTTTAATATTCAACTGAGTAATTTTCCTCAGTCTTCTAAAATCTTTTCAGATTACATGATTTTCACACTGAATTTTTATTGAAAAAAAAACTGTTAGCGGGATTAAAATGTGATACACGATGCAGCTGCTGTTAATAATCACAAGGGGATATACTTTGACATACCCATTCACAAATGCAATAAAGAAGTAGTTCGTATTTTAAACGAGACGATATTCAGATACGGTTTGTGATCGTATATCAACATATGCTATGGTCTATGATGCGGGGGAGTATTGTCAAGAAGTATATCACGGTCTGCGATAGTCTCTGACTATTGTAGTAGAGGGCACCGAGTCCAAAACTTTCGGACCTGAACCTGATTGATCAAATTTTTCTAGACGTGATCGCATCGTACTCTGATACTCAAGGAAACTTCTATTCAAAATCGATTAGTTGCTTCGAAGATACGAGATACTTCTTTTCGGCTTTCTGTATTCAGTAACTAGGGCTTCCTACACATTTCTCAGATAATTAGAACCCATCCGGTCCAAAAATTTTAGATCTGAAATCAACCCGATGAACTCCATTGACCAGCGTCTGTCACAGCATGTGGGAGAGTCCAAGTATTTATTCATATACTTCAACACTCATTGTATTTCGCAAAAATAAAACATAGAAAATCAAATCCATCAATATCAAGGAATAATTCTTCTTATTCACACAGCAGACGTTAGAATTTTTTTTTTTAACGAAATCATTGTCTTTCAAAATTTAATGTTTAACTAAAAAAATTTTATTTTTCTATTTAGGCTATGATTTTGGCCAACATTATTCTCGGATCCGTATATTCGAATTTGATAGTTATTCAGATGCGAAATTTCTTAAATTTAATATTCATGGTCCAACAATAGTAGCTAATTGGTCATTAACACTTGCTACTGAAGGAAAATGTTCTAATAATTTTGCTAATATTCATTTGTATGTTAAATAGAAAAAGAAAACATGAGATTTTTTAAAAATTTTTTGGTTTATTTAATTAGTTATCTTCAGTATGGTGCATATCCATTAACAGCACCACGAAATGAATCATTTCCACCAGCATATATAAACAGTCGTCATAATCTTTTTAAAGTAATCTTTAATCAAACAATAATAAATCCATTAATTCAATTAAATAGTCCATCAATTGGAACATGGTTTGCTATGGTAAAATATCTTATGATTTCAATTAACTTTTTTTTCTTTCTAAACATATTTTATTTAGACATTTATTGATCGTCTATCATCAAATATTGAATCAAAAGTATGTGTCTATAAATATTTTAATTGTATTTGCTTGTTTTCATTAATCAATTTTCTATAGATTTCTAATACGGGATGTAATTTTTATTTATCAACTTGGCTTGATTATCAAGTAGTACCAATACCGTTAACATTGATGCTCAATAAACCAATTCAAGTTCAATTAACTAATAATAAATCATCGATTTATGCATCGTAAATACTTTAAAGTTGTTTTATGTGATAGAAGAAATTTAACTTTTTTTTCTTGTTTTTTGTTTATTTAGTTATTATACATTAATAGGAAATTCTCGGATTATAATTTTATCTGAATGGTCAAGTAATTGTGATATAACAATTTTAGCAAACATAAATTCACTTCCAAATCCATCTTTATATGATTATAAAACAGGTTTATTTAAAAAACAAAATATTTCACATAAATACAAAAATAAAATATTTAATTTCTTATAGTTTGTAAAGATAAAACATGCTCAATAGAAATTGATCAATTATCAGCATTTATATGGATTTATTTTCAAATAACAGTTAATAATTCATCATGTTTAATAAATCCTATTCATGGTGAAATGCTTATTCGTACAATAGGTATCTAATTCAAATAATTTTTTTGTATAGAAAAATTTTCAAATCATTTTTTTTTAGAATGTTTATCATTTTCAAATAATCTTTGTATTCAATCTTATCCAACACGACGAATAATGTTTAATTATTATTATGATTTTTTATATGCACCTATATATAAAACAGATCGATCAAACAGGGGTAGTACTAGTTCAATAACATTAAATGGAAAAGATTCATCGATATATTCATATGAGTTTATTGTTGATGATAGAAATATTGGTGGAACATTACATTTTGATTTTGAATCTCGAATTATGGTAAAAAATTTATTGTTTTTTTTTTTTTTTAATTAACGAACAAAGTCTTCCAACTAATCAATTGATGTTGAATCGAGACTATGTACATTACATAGGCTCAAATAAGCTATGAATATACTGAAAAGAGTTCATGTCTTTAGCTTATTGCTGCAGAGATGTTGAAACTTTACGGTGTGGGTGTCGGTAGGGATATGTGTTAGTTAGTGCATTTTCTCTTTACCCATATCCTATACCTACATCCTCATAAAAAATGTTAAGTCTTTAGTAACACATGTGTATCTTAAGATAGGAACAATGACAAGTTCTGAAATTATTCTCGTTAAGGTTTGATCTCGATGCAAAGTTTTAAGTTGCAATTCAAAAATCAGTTTTCCTAAGGCGAACAACAGCATTTGTTTATAAAAATACCATAACAGCACAATATCTTCGCTGCAACAAACTAAGAACATGCACTGTTTTCAAGAGATTTGAGTCTACATAATGCACGTAGTCCTGACTCTATAGCGATTTATCAATCGGAGTATTTTCTTTGGAAGATTTTAATTTATTCGATTTTATAGCCTTTTGTATCATCAAATGTGAATGCCAGTGTTGTTGGATGTATATCAAAATATCGACCACGTCTATTTGATAAATGTGAATATGATTATAAAATAAATATTGAAAAAAATTCTATGGTTATCAGATCATTGCCTTATCCTGAAATGGCTCTTTGGTATTTAACATTACAGTATGTTTGTAATGGGTTAGTTGAATTCTTTTATGAATTATTTCTTTAAGAAACTTTTTTTTTTTATTTTTTTTTTTTCATTAATTTTAGATCAGCAAATGAATGTTTAAATGCTTCATTAACTCTAATATTTCAAATATCATCATCACAATGTACAAAACAACAATGTGGAGCATATGGTGTTTGTAGAATATTAACATCACAACAAAATGTTTTTTCAACGTGTTTATGTATTGCTGGTTAGTTTGACATATTGTTTTTGCGCTTTAAACATAGTTGTCTAGGAAATTTTCTATTTTCATTAGTCTATAGGAATCAAAAGACTTCCTCTCACTTACATCAAATAAAATCGATGAACTCTTGTAATGGCATTTCTTTAATAAAGCTTTTAGATTTCATAAACAAATTTTAAAAAAGTGTCTATAGTGTCGGAAATATCACGAGAGAAAATTAGTGCATTTTTATGTTCTGAAAGATGATCCTTCTCTTCGTTGAATTAATAAACAATTAGTGTAGAGTCAAATTAAAATAATCTAACCATCGCTAAGCTAGTTGAACCTCTAGCATTTCGAAAGATAACGAATTCAATTATTCTCAAACCATTTCTTTTTTCTTGTTATTTCTTTAATCAAATAGCAATCAAAATAAGATGAATTCGACTGGTGAATTATTCTTCAACAGAAAATTCTTCTTACTATTGTAAGACATGTTGAGAATTTTATCAAAATTACATTTATATAATAATTTTCTTTTTGGCTTTTTAAATTGCTCTATCGCTTAAAACTTAATGGTGAAAGGAAATACAAATGCCAAATCTATTCTTAAAAAAAAAAAAAAACAGAAAATATAATTTTTCTTCATATAGGCGCATAAGAGGTCAAATCGGTCCGTTAATATCAAAATGTTAGTCTCCACATACTCTTTTCGTTTATATATAATTGACAAGAAAAATACTAGTGAACCGATTTTACTACTTATGCACTTTCATCTTTAAGTCTCACCGATGCTTTTTTACTGATAGCTTATGTGTGGCAAATAATAATTTGCTTTTTACTTTTTTTTTCTGTATCAATCCATGCAATCATATATATATATATTTATCTAGGTTATCGTGGATATGGTTGTACTGATAGTACTTATGCTTATGTATCAAAAAGTTTATTAAGTGTTCTCTTTTTAACAATAAGTAATTTAATGTTTTTACCAGCTATTGTATTAGCCATCTATAGACATTTATATATCGAAGCACTTATCTATTTTTTCAATATGTTTTTTTCAACAGTAAGTTTTAATATTATACAAAAAAGGTCGTTTTTTTTTAAATAAATTTGCTCTTTTAGTTTTATCATGCATGTGATCAAGATATAAATAAATTTTGTATATTTAAATATGATGGTTTACAATTATCGGATTTTATTGGTTCATATGCATCGTTTGTTATTACATTAATAACTATGGCAATAGTACCACGATCAATCAAAGCATTTCTGTTTATGTTAGGTGTATTAACATGTATTGTTATTAATTCACGTGATCGTTTTGATCATTTACAATTTATTTGTTTGATTAGTATTACATTTATTTTTACAGTTTTAACTTGGGTACTTAGATTAAATTGATTTTAAATATTTACTTTTTTGTTTATTTTTGGATGAAATTTAGGTCATTGTTTCGATTAGATATCGTCGTTTACAACCATCTCGGAAACGTCTTTTATTATATATGCCAGGCTTTTTATTAGCATTAACCGCACTTATTTTATTTGCATTCTGTGAAACAGATGAAAACTATTGGTATATACATAGTTTATGGCATATATTTATTGGAAGTTCAATTCTTTTTTTTCTTCCACATAAAAATTCATATAAAAGAGGTAATAAAAAAGTTTAATTTTTTTTTTAAATTAATTTTGATATTAATATTTTTCAATTGATAAAAAGAAAATAATAGATTAGAAATGAAAGAACAATATGAAATTGATCTACCAGTTTTAAAAAGAAAAAAATCAGGTGATCATAATCAAAGCCATTTCCCTTCACCATACACCTAAAGCATGTTGAATGTATAAATGGATTGATGTTATGAAATTATCATTTGCTAATAATAGAAAAATACTTTTTTTATACATTCTAGAAAAGAAATGAATGAGAAATATCGGTGGGTTAAAATTTTTGGGTTTTTCCTCTAATGGAAAAATATCTTAAAATTTTTGTCAATAGACAGATCTAATAATTCTAGGCATATCCTGAAAGTTTTAACAGAAAAGAACATTTCTTGGTGAAGATATTGTGTTTCCAAAAAAAAAAATGGTCGTTTGGTACAAAAATCGAGTCTATTAGAAAATTCAATATCTCTACAAAAGAAACATTCTTTTCGACTGAAAATTTAAAAATATTGTACAAGTCTTTCGATCTGTGTATGAGAAAAATTTCAGATCGAAACTTCATTATTTGATTTTTCGCTAAACACCTAAAGTTGGCTAGAAAATTCAGTAAAATGGTCATAACTCCGCTTCAGAGGTACGATCGACTGTAACAGTTCCAGTTCATATGAACTGAACTAATGGACAAGTTTCAGTCCCTATGAACTGGTCCAGCAGTTCTTTTGAAAAGAAAACTGGTGCTTATTAATTAGAGAAAGACGGTACATGCCAGATTTTTACCAGTTCTTTTTTCACAAGAACTGGTCAAGCAATTTAGTTCGCGAGAACTGGAACTGTTACAGCCCTATTCAGAAGTTCATAAGTATGAAGTCTTTTAGGACTTTTCTAGTTTTACCGAGATCGCATTGTGAACCAAATATGAGCTCAAATGGCGGTTATCAGTTCGGATAGTTCCTTCTTAAGCCTGTTGTATATATTCATAATATCTAAAGCAAGTCTCAATGAACTAGTAGATATTTCGATAAGCTCAGAGACACTGGTACTAATTTATAACTTGATCAGATCACCCTTCTTGTGTTGATCATTTAACGACTATGGCAAACCTATCCGTCACTATTCATCATCTTTGATATCTTGAATATGAATTTTTATCTGCACAAAAATTAGACATTTTATCATTTAGAACATTCAGAAACATATAGTCCAAGTCTTGACGTTAACGCTATTTAGCCCCTTTTTTCTTTGCTACAACACATATGGGAAAGAAGTCTGACATCTGTTGTGTATGTTTTCACTGATTGTTGGCCTTTGCCCATGACTATGAATGAGAAACCGCAAAAACCTATACGAAAAATATAATGTGAGTTCCACAAAGTCGCTAAAGTGTCTAAATCGGATTAATGTAGCGAGAAACACTTTCCCTATTGATATATTTCTCTGAAATATATTCTTTTTCTATAAAATTGACGAGAATAAATCTTCTTTTTCACTATTAATCAATGTCAATAGTTCGTTGATATGATTGGAGTCGTATCATTGTTAGTTGCATGCAAGCAAATATGTCAGTCTTGTTCTTCAACAATCAAAATATAAGACATAGGATCATCGCATTACTATTGAAACTTTATGAAAGCTAATCATTCTCACGAAACAATCCATTAGAATGCATTTGTCTAGTGAATTGAAATTAGTAAATTCTTATCTACAAATGCATAAAACCACATTTTGACTCTACTATAAGCAATAATAATCATGCATGTCTTTATTATATCATAACTTGCAAAATACTGTTCATTATTTTTGTCCTGAAAATTAAAAATCTTGCTCAAAACTCTTACTAGTGCATTTTAAAAATGTTCTAATAAGATAGTCAGTTCTTCATTGAATGTTTGCTTTGAATATTTTAATTTAGTTCTTCATAATTTGTTTAAAAAAAAAATATTTTTTACACTGAATTTTTTTTTTTTACAGAACCTACTACACAAGGAATAAGAGCTGCTGAACCAAGTATTAACATAAATACTGATAGTCCATCAATTGGTACTGTTAATCAAGTAATTGCATTACCAATTGACAATACATCTTTATCATCATCAAATACTGACTCATCAAAAAAATCAACTGATAATCTTCTTAATTAAAATAAACAGTTTGTGACTTGCTTCTTTTTTTTTTTTTTTATTTCAAAATGTTGATTTCAATGTGATCGTTTCAATACTCTGTTTATGTTTATTTGTCTTTGGACTAAAAATCTTTCTCAAAAATGAATTTATTTTGTTTGTTCGTTTTCTTTTTATAACAGATCTTTGTTTTTCACTCTAGTCGTCTTCTGCTTTATAAAATTGAAACTGCGTTTGATCTATCTCTACATCTCTTTCTTTTTTATTCAAGTTTAAAACATTTACGAGATGGCGCTAATCAATATTTGCTTTTTTTCTTGCCTTTATGTAGAACAATATATATTTTTTTTTACATTGTCATCATTAGTATTCAAATAAAATTAAAAGATCTTCAACGCTTTTAATATTAATTCATTTATTCCATTGTCAAATCATAAGATCAGTTCTTTGTTTAATGTTTGTCTGTGCAGCTCATATTTTCAAACAATGAACAATATTGTTAATCTTTCATTTGATTGGTGAGAATCATATTCGTACACTATATCAAAAAATAAAGTTCAATATAAACAAAAAAAAACAAATAATTATGTAGAAGGTACTTGCTCGTTGATTACATAAAAATACATGGTGGGTCAGCAGTGTTTTTACCGAAGAAAGCTTTGAATATTGCACTATCTTTGGATCAAATGACCTGATTTTTTGCCATTTATAGATGAATGTACATGGTTCATATTCATAAGAAAAACATTGAAAAGAACTACTTTAAAGTACTATCGTTGACTTCAGTAAAAGAGCGATAAATATATCAATTTTTCTATTGATTCTTTCAACTATTGTCGTTGAGTCTAAAATTTCTGCAAGACATTCATATCTTGTTACTCAATGTACTCTGAAAGTTTCAACCATAAATAGCTATGTTTTATTGAGAAAATTTCAATACTATTTTTCGTAAACTCGTTTAAAGCTACAGTGTTTTATTGAAGTCAAAGATAACACTTCGAAGTATTTCATTTGACGTGGAGATACTCAAATATTTCTTCGGTGAAGCAACTTTTGACCTATTCTAGTTATTCCAATTAGTATTTTTCTTATATAACGATTTTTTGTTGATTATTTGAAAGAAGAGAGAGTGTGTAGGTACGAATTATCACTACTTTTCATTCAAATAATTAATGGACAATAAATCTTACATATGCATGGCACTTACACTCTATAATGTGCCCTGTCCCTTAAACCAATTAGTGTATAGAATACCGTTGATCAGGAGAAGAATTATATATATACTATTAACTTTGTTTGATAGAATAAAACAAAGAAATTCATATCGTGATATATTTTATTTGCATTCATATTTTAAGTGGAACGCGATAATTAATCAATATCATAGAATTGGCGTATAAAATTTTTTTTTTTTTTCAAACGGCACATTCACATCTAAAATAACATTCATCGTCATAATACTTTGACAATAGAATTTCTACTCATATAATAAATCTTTTAGATTTCAAAGATGTGTACTTATCATGGCATATTGGAAGAATATCCTCTTATATCAATTGATTCATTTGAAAGTTATAATTATACAAGTACAATGTTTTTTATAACACATATTCATATGGATCATCTTGTTGGTCTTGAACGACCAGAATTTGGTAAATATGTTGCAAAAATAAATGCTCCAATATATATGTCTGATATCTCAAAACAATTATTAAGTACAATGGCACCATATCGTCATTTAGTACCATATTTTAAATCAGTTCCAATTGATCAACCATTTACATTAACAATTCAATCAATTGATCCTGTACAAGCAAAGAAAAAAGAAGGAGGAGGTAAAATTAACAAACAAAATTTTATTTTATTTTTTTTTTAAATTATAATTTTAGATACTGAAAGTTTAAAAAATACATTATCATCACATACACCACATGTTGGTGAAACAATTGTTGTAACTTGTTTTGGTTCTGGTCATTGTCCTGGTTCAGTTATGGTATGGATTGAAGGTGAACATGGTAATGTTTTATTTACAGGTGATTTTCGTCTTTATCATGGTCAAGCTAAACGTTTAACGCATTTACATCGACGACGAACAGATAATGATGATAATTATTTATTTAAACCAATTGATAATATTTATATTGATATGACATTTTTTCGTCCTGAAATATTACATATACCAACACGTGAAATTAGTTGTGAAGCATTAATTTTATGGATAAGAAGTTTATTATCTGATAAATCAAATGTAAATTTTCATTTTAAACAAAGGTAACAAAAAGTAAAATAAATAAATTATTTATTTCAATTAAAAACAAAAGAGGTTTTTTTTTCTTCTAGTGCTCGTGTTGGTTATGAACAAATTTTTCGAGCTTTATATGATAGTTTAGGTATGCGTGTACATGTTGAACAAAGTCAATATGAGTTTTTTGCGTGTCTACCAATAATACAAGAGTGTTTAACAACCGATCCAATATCAACACGTTTACATGCATGTCGTACAGCATCATCAAATTATACACAACCATGTTCAATATTTCGAAATTGTGATAAACCTATTCGTATACTTTTATCAATTATGTGGTTTACTGAACAAATAGCTGCTAGTAAATTAGTTTTTTTTCTTCTATTTATTGTAATAATATAGAATTTTGATATATGAGAAAAGTCACTAAAAAACGAGACACACTTATCGTCAGTTTGACTTTGATTTTTTACGAGTTTATGTTTGTAGCAAGATTGGACTTCGAGAAATTGTCTCCCACAAAACCGATTCTTCACAGATCTTCTCATGTCCTGATGCCAGATTTTTTGTTTCAGTATTTGTATTCATTCACGTCGCTAACAATGAATCAACTTATTATTTTTGAAAAATCTAACCATATTTAGGAAACCTGTTGTGTAGAGATTTTTTAGTCGGAAGAGCTCTTTGCAAAGCATACTATTTACTTTTCAAAAAAAAAATATTGTTTGGACTTACAGAATTTGTGAACGGGAACGCACGCGTAGTGAAAATTTTCGTCCTTCTTTTTTTTGTGTCACGGGATCTGACTAGATCCAGAAGTAGATAGTTAGAGTCAGACATTTTTGCTCTTTCCGAGTATACGTTCAGAATTTCTTCCTAGAGTAATATTAGATAACTATCAAAATAGTGACTGCACACAATAGTATTTGAGCTAATTTTGCAGTTCGATTGAAATCTGTACAGTTCAAAATGCAATACAGTTGTTAATGGCTTAAGTTTGCTCAACAAAGCATGCTATTCACTTTTGCATGAAAGATTTTGAAATCTGTAATATATTCTTAAAAATAGTTTTTGAAATAGGGACTTTTTGACTCATGTCGACTTCCATAGAAACTGACTGTTCTGTAGAAATGTATGGATGATATTTCGCTTATTGTAATATCTCATTTTGTACAGAATTTAGTGCTTTACAATATTGTTGAGTTAAATTTACTGATAGTTGTTTAATATTACGTCAGAAGGAAAGTTCGAAAATATATTCAGAGGTATATTCTAACTAATTGCTTTTGACTCTGATTATTTGTCTTTTAGTGACCGAAAAAATAAGCGTTTATTTTCTGCTAAGACTTTCACACGATTATCCATAAAATATATTCAGATTCATTCTAAGTACCGTTTTACTGGACACATATCAGTCGACCGGCTTCACTCTTACGAGGGAAGGTCACCAACTGTTCAATCGCTTTTGCATTGAAACTACTTGCATTATGTAGTTCCCAAAGAGTTATGAATACGCTGAAAATATTTTGGGTGGATAGCTTATTGTTACGAAAATAGGCCATTTCTAAGGTATTTTTTTAATGATTGCCGTACTCCCCCTCAGGAACATTCGAAAAATTGATTTTCGAATTTTGACTTGAAACTTTGCATATAAATTCATCTCAACGAAAGTAGTGTTTTGAGATCATTTTTGGTCATTGAATTTGTTTCTTTCGTCAAATCTACTACTTTATTTGAAAGATTAAGAATAAAAATTTCATAATAGCTGTGTCCAGTCATAGAAACGCTGGAAAGATCTGACACGTTCAACAAAAGTTGTTCTTCTAGGAGCGTCTTTCTATGTAAAGTTTCAAGTCAAAAATCGAAAATGAATATTTTTAATGTTCCTGAGGATGGGTTCAGGTACTCTTTAAAACCCATACCTGACAAATGGCCTATTTTCGTACCAATGAGTTATTCGCCCAAAATATTTCCAGCGTATTCATAACTCTTTGGGAACTACATAATGCAAGTAGTTTCAACGCTAAATCGATTGAACAGCTGGTGATCTTCCCTCGTTAGCCAAAATCTCAACAAAATAAATGTTTGGAAAGTAAAGTCCAGTATAACTCTGCTACATATATATTGAACTAAATAGAACCATTAGATGTGTAGCACAAAGATATCTAACGTTATTTTTTCCGAACATTTATTAGTGAGAACTTTTGGCTCACAATAGTCTCGATGAGTCAGAGTGACTCAGAAGGTATTTTACTAAAATCCTATTCGTACTATAGGGGTAATATACATATTTTGCTTTTTTTGTTAAGGTGAATTATTAGTTGAATATCATGAATATCATTCGAATTTCGATCAAAATTTATCAAAACGTTGTATTGGTTATCAAGATTATGGAAATGAAAGTGCTGATGTAACATTTCAAGATACATATTTAAATTATCGTTTATGTTATTCATTACATTCATCATTTACGGAAATAATTGATGTTTTAAAAACATTAAAACCAAAATGTGTTACACCAATAGCTGCACCATTAACAACATTAATGACAACAAAACGTTTATTTCAGATAATTGATTATTTTATACAAGATAAAAAAGCTAAATCTAATAAAACAGCAATGATAACAATTAAAAAATTAAATGAAAATATGCAGCGAAAACCTATTAATCAACAAATACAACTTAAACATCGTTATGAATCATTCGAAACAAAAATTGAACGAAAACGTCGAAGAAGATTATTTAAAGAACAACAACAAAGAAAAGCTAATGATGAAGAATTAGATTTTGGAATTGACGATGAAAGAGAACAAACTCTTTTACGACGAATCGATTCCGTAAATGAATCAATCAGTAAACAAATACAAACAAATCATTCAAAAAGTTTCTTTCGATGTATGTATAAAAGATTTTTCTTTGTTATTGATAATAAAAAAACAAAACTCATCTATGCAGTCGCTTGTCTCGGTATTTTATAGTATGAACGAACGTGAACTAATCTCATTATCCTTTCAGACCAATAGGATTTCATTTATTTATGAACCGAAAATCAATAAATTAAATTTCGCATACACAAGAGATTTTTTTACAGGCTTCGTTGAAAAGATTTTCTTTAGAGTTATCATCATAAGGAAAGATTATGGCTGCACTAAGTCGACGTTTTTTAGCCTCAGGAGTCAATGAATGAAATCTTATGTCCTATAATTTCTGATTCTGTGAAGTCCAGAGAGATGCAATATCTAACAAGATTTCATGAATGAATAATGTTTAACTTATCGCAACTAAAAAGATTACGAGAAAGTGATGAATTCTTTCTGTAACTTTTTTTTGATTTGAAAATGAATATGAAGAAACTATTGAAATAATTTCTTAGTTTACTTTAACAAATCCATCATTTATATGTTGATATTTGATTTCAATCATTTAAAACCGTTAATCACTTGTTGCTTCTTACACTGCAAAAAAATAAGTGTAGATTAATAAATCCTTACTATCCGTTTATTACCATGACATAAACCTTGGTAAAAGTTTGTGACCCCTTGCACTGTTTTGTGTTCATGAACCTTTTCTTCGGATATATGAACGAAAAAAAATCTTCAAACAAAGGGTTTATTATTTTACGGTTGTGTTGGAAACGTGCATTGATAAACCCTTCACTTAAGGTTTTATTTCGTTCATGTATCTAAAAATGGAGTTCATGAACGTAGAAAACAGTACAAAGATTTTGCGATGAGTCACAAACGCTTGTCAAAGTGAGAGGCTACCGGGATTTATCTTGACTCATCTATTGGTAGTACATAATACATTTAAACTGTATCAAAAGAGAGCCACAGTTTTGAAGAGTCTATCTTCATCCTTAGCTAGATACCTACCTTCAGTCTAGTTTTTTTGTTTGATGATAACAGATATAATGAGATTAATAGAAAACCCCTAATAATTTTGGGAAGAGTAAATCTTGGAAGCTGCTGGTCAGTGTTTATAAACAAAAAGAGTTTATGTCACGATGAGTTCATGGGGAATTTGAATTTGCGGCAAATTCAAAATGCTTATACCGCTATACCGCTATAGCGGTATAGTGGTATAGCGGTATAAGTATCCTTATACCGCTGTATCTCTATAGCTTCTTTAAAGACAAAGAAATCTCCTACCGAATGGTACAGCCACCTTAAGAGTAGCCCTTCAAAGATACCACCTTCAGGGTACCTTTTCAAGGGCACCCTCCTCACCCTCACTTTGTTGTCCCTGAAGGGTACCAGCAAGGGTACCTTCCTCACCCTCACTGTGTTCTCTCTCAAGGGTACCCCCAAGGGTACCCCTCAAGAGTACCCTCCCAAGTGTACCCCTCAAGGGTACCCTCCCAAGGGTATCCCTCAAGGATACCCTCCCAAGTGTACCCCTCAAGGGGACCCTCCCAAGGGTACCCTCCTCACCCTCACTTTGTTGTTCCCCAAGGGTACCTTCCTCATCCTCAAGATGCTTCTCTAGCTCTATATAATGAATTTGTCGTAAATTCATTTTTTTTTAAAGAAAATGAATTTGCCGCAAATTCGAATTCCCCATCATATGGTCATGATAGTAAGCGAATATTGAAAGTTTATTATTGCATATCTTTTTTTTAGTGTGCCTTATTCTATGAAAAAAAAACAAATGATATCTTTAGATTCGAAAGATGATTTCAAATAGTTAAGATTTCAATAATTGACTTTATTATATTTATTTTAAATTTTTAGCTATTTCTTTGGATATACCAATAACAAAAGATAAAAAGAATTCTTATAATAATGATCAACAAATGAATATATCATTGGAAGAATCAAATTCAAACGAAAGTTTTTCATCAAGTCAAATTATTTCTATTGAATCAACATTAGAAGATTCATCTAATTCATTATCAATCGAAGATAAATCGGATACTACATCAATTAATGATATTGTTCCTGATATTTTATCATCCGAAATTGAACCTATTACTATTGATCAACAACTTATTGAATTATCATCTCTCGAAAATGACCATGAATGTACAATGTCAGATTCTTCATCAGATACAGTTGATTATGATTTTGATACAGAAACATGTGCAACACTTACATTTGAATCTCAAGAATCAATAATTTCTTTATCTGATGGTCATGATAACGAATGTTAGATAGTGAATTTTTTTGTTTTTTGTAAAAACTTTTTTTGTTTTTGTTTTTGTAGCGATTCTTTTCCTAATAATGATAATTTATGCAGGATTTCTTTTTCGCTTGTTTTTTATAGATCATGGGTTCACTAGCATTATCTGTTCTTACGCTTACTATTGGCGTCTTTTTTATTCTTATTGGTCAATTTAAAGTTACATCGAAATTTTTTCCTGATATACATGACGATATGGTAAGGATCGATATTTATTTTTGTTATAAATCATATTTATTTTGCTTTCTATGATCAGAGACATGAATTTGGACGTATTAATAAAGTATTTCCATTTTATAAAATAACTGGTTGGCGTCCATATGCAAAAAATTATCGAATGACTTTTGGTATTATTGAAATTATCTGTGGAGTTATTTTAGTTCTTATACCAGGTGAATTGATTTTTATTTAAACGCGACTAGAAGTTTTTTCGATGACTTTTCACTACGAAGAGAAAGCGGTATGCAGTAGAATTTAATAATTCATACATACATCATTAGATATAGGATGTCATGATTGAGAAGCCAAAGACTATAATGAATACCGTAGTTTCATTGTTTTCGTATCAAAATGACTTCATTTCTGCTTGAAAGTTACATAGACACAGATGGGAGCAGGAGTGTACGTTGTAGGGAAATAAAAATTGCGCATTCGACTACGTAAAATATGAATTATATTCACATAAACGCTGTAAATGACGTCTTTGAGTGAATATTACGTGATCAAGTATGTCCTCCCCCCCCCCCCGCCCGTGTAGTTACGCGCATGAATAGGAAAAGTTCTGTTGAATTTTTGCATAAAAAAGAGTTTGAAAAATCATTAATATTTGGATTTATAATGCGATGTTATTGACCAAGGCAAAATAGTTTGGAAACATCAGCTAAGTTCAATACGTAAGGAAGGATATTTGAAATATACGTAAAGCTCATTCTTCGACAACAGATACGAATAACAAACACTTTTTTTTGCGACTAAACAAGAAGCTTGAGAACTCGACACGCCATTTTGTTGCAGAAAGGCATACACTATCAAAATAGATATCACTAGTATATACGAAAATACAACAGAAACCAGCTTAATATTCTTGCATATCATTGTTGTCAATTTTGACACTATATATGTCTGTTTGTACAAAAAGGACGATGTGTCGAGTCTCCGAACTTCTCGTTTTGTCGCAAAAACTGTTTGCTATTTGTATTTATTATCATAAAACTAGTCCTGTGTGTATTTCAAATACCCTTGCTGCGATACTGAACTTAGCTGATTTTTTCAAACCAGTGTGGCTTGTTTAATAAAATCTCATTTTAAAGTCAAATATAAACGATTTTTCAAACTTTCATTTTTGTGAAAATACTTAACAGGAATTCTTCTATTTGTATATGTGACTTTCAAGTAAAACTAAAGTCATCTTGCTGTGAGGACAACGAAACTACGATAGTAATACTATAATTTTTGACAGCACTATGTATTCTGTTCCGTAGTGAAAAATCTTATAGTCGCTTATATTTATTTTTATAGAAACTTTTTTTTTTTGTCTGTTTAAAAAGGACGACTTAAACAATTGGCGAATATTGTACTTTTAATGTTAATGTTAGGTTCTGTTTATACACACTATGCTTTACATGATAAACTTGATCGTATGGCACCGGGAATTATAATTTCTTTACTTTTATTAACACGTCTTATTATTTATCAGCAAGACAAATATTCTAACAATGAGAAATCGACTGAATTAAAAACTGAAGTTACAAATGAAGAAAACGATAATCAACAAGAATCTGTAGATGAAGAATCCGATGAGGAAAAAATATCATCAAATGAAAAGAAAAACGATTAAAAATATTGTTTTTTTCTACTTATATTCAATACTGACAATTATATATCATTTATGTTCTTGATATAATTTTTACTTAGTTTATTGTTTATTGATATTGCCACTATTTTGTTAATTAACGCAATAAAAATCAATTTAGTTCGTACATTCGAACAAATATTGATTATCTTTTGAAATTTATTAACAATTATTATTGGATCTACGTTAATTGGTCATAATACTAAAAAATTAAATCTGCAAAAAACTTTTTCGCAGCATTATGAAGAAATAACTAACGAAGGAACATCTCCAGATGTCAAATCGCTTTTCAACCGAGACAATGTTCATTTGATGAGTGCTAAAGAATCATAGAAAAGTCGAGAATGGTTTGCTCTTTTAGGCCTTCTTTCTTGAGATATGGAAATTTGACTGGTTTTTTCTAACAAAAAGCGGCGATCTTCCTCAGATTACTTTTGAGTTTCGGTTTTTGCACGAACAAAGTGTTCAATGAGATGAGTTTATTGCACAAGTTGTAACTTTTCTAGTCTCTTCTATTCTCAGATATTCAATATTCGAAACTCTCGCATGTGTAAAAGCAAATTTACATCTCCAGAAAGGAGATATTAGGAGAAGTAAAACTTGCACAACCAGCTGATCTCATTAAGAACTTTGTTTATTTAAAGTTTGAAGTCGAAAATCGGTTTTTCATGTGATAACAGTTTTTTGTTGAAGAATCCAGTAAAAATTTCGATATCTCAAGAACGAAGACCCGAAAAACCAAACCATTCTTGATTTCTGCTATTACTCTCTAGCACTCATGCAATGAACATCGTCTCAGTCAAAAAATGATTTGATACATGGAGAAATTTCTTCGTCAGAATGGTTCAGAAAATAATTAACAATCTATTCAAGAATAAGAAACATTAAATACGAGTATAAATACAAATGTTTTATGTGATCTTCTAATTAATTAAGCATGTAGGCTAACATGAAACTAGTAGTTGCTTCAAGAGTTTCTCATAATTCTATAAAAAATTTTTCTTATTTTTGAACTCTCTCTGCACAGGCTTTTACTATTCGATACTGATTACACTTTTCATACTTTTTTTAAAAATGTGAATATCAACATTCTATTACTGCTTACGAACCGGATCCTATATGCATATATTTTCCATGACGTAAATATTCATTTCTCACATGCCACCCCCATCCTCACGCGAAGCTGTATGTGACTGAATTACATGTCTACAAATTGAATTTTGTGGGAAGCAAAATAGGACTCATTCTTGTGTCAAACATGCGAGTAATTCTATATTGTAACTAATTGCGTAGCTTCCATTTATCGCCTTCTCATAATTATAAAATTTATATGTTGATGAAAAGAGTCATGATTTAACATATCATTTACGAATATAATAATCCAAAAATAGTTCAACACAATTACTATTCTAATAAACTTTATTGATAGAATAAATATGTAGAAGTGATATAGATCAAAATAATAAAATATTATCCCATCAGATAAATATCTCCTGAAAAAATTGAATTTTATTTAATCAAATCCAATTGATAGATACATGATTACATTGAACTACCGATAAAACAATTTTTGATTGAAACAAAAACAAAACAGACGCGCATGAAAAAACCTTGAAAATATACTTGTTAAATAGAAACTATGTCATTCTAAAGATTTTAATGCTTTCATAAGTTTATAATTCAAAATAAACAAGTTGAAACTATATATAAACCATTTGTTTAATTATTTCATAGAGGCAATCTTTGTTGATAGAAATTTTGTTTTTCTTATTCCTCAAATGTTCGAAACAAAGACTCGCTAATGTTTGATTAAAAATTGTAAATATAATAGAATTTCATCGAATTAAGATTCACCAGTGAAACAAAAACCATATGTCTATGTGTAATATCTATATTTGTTTTATATTGAGATTTTCTTTAATTTTCATGTACATGATGCTTTTTCTTGTGTAGAAATGAAATAAAACTCATGTGGTTTTTTCTAATAAAAGAAGCCAGCATGATTGTCATGCAACTAAAATTTCAATAATTTAAAATTAGTATCAAACAAATCTCATGATCATATTGTGATATTTTTTTCTTCTTGTTAAAAATAAAAAGCAAAAAATGACAGCATATATTGGGAGAGAATTTAGATTTTATTAATTACGTACAATTTGATGTAATACATGATGGTGAAATTTTTTTTTTCAAATAAATACGTGTCTGACAAAAACAAACAGACGAAAAACTATACGAGACACAACTTTGTTAATGGTTAATTGTTAAGAAATACGTTTTTTTTTCTCCTAATTATGAACCGTATTAAATAGAAACAAGAATTTGTTTTTTTTTAATATTGAAAAACACTTTTTTTCTGTCGTCCTGTAAACGAATTTCTTGGTGGTTGATTTTGTTTGTATGTATTAGATAATTTTTCCAATAAATAAAGTTGATCGTTCAATTCTTCATCGTTTATTGATTTGTCCAAATTGGAATAAAAATCATTAAAAGTATTTTGTCGACGAACAAGTTTAATTTTAAATGCATCATAATAATCTTTTACAGCTTTAAGATATTGTTCAATTTGTTCTTTGGTTTTAAAGCGTAGTGGTCGTTCAGGTGGTGGAGGAATATCAAGATAAGATGATAACATACATGAAGCCAAAGCAAAAAATATGACAAGAATTGTGAACGTATTGCTCATTCTATAATATTCAAATAACAAATGTTTAAAGATATTTAAAACACAACACCTATTCATAGAAAGATTTTCTACGCCTACTTATGCTAGGATAAAAAAAAACACTAAACTACAGATAATTGCACACTAGTGTCTTACTTTTTATGATTATCATAAATTATACAGATTAGCTAAGATTTTAGTTGTCAGTCACGGTATTTATCTTTACACATTAGATGATTATCATTTCGTAATAGATTTTATAGAAAATAACCTTGAGAAACATTGACGATAATAATAATATGAATAATCAATTTGTTTTGTTGTAGTTTCTCTTTATTTTCTTGTAAATAACACATTTGTTATATATATATATATTTATATCCAGTTTTTTTACTATCACACTAACGAGAGAAATTCTAAAGTTCTATCTCTTTTATACGATTGTAAAATGATAAAAAGAATGTATTACACGATTATAAGCAACTCATTAACTAACTTATAGAATTGATTTCATCAACATATAAACAATTATTTAATTAATCAAAAATCAAATTGTTTTTTCTTTTAGTTAAAAAATGGATCAATAGCTTTATTTTAAAATTGAAGATTCTCATCAACAAACTTTATTTTTATCCAAATAAAAAACAAAAAAAAAACACTCACCTTCATTTTACTGTAAATTTGAAATAAGCCGACTAAATAAATCAGCTCAAAGTTGAATCCGATTTACTCAAAAAATTTCTATTAGGATAATCCATGTTACTTAATCAACTTTATATCATCTTAAGTGCTGCTTTTCTATGATTTTATTATAATATATTATAATTTTCACCTTAAGATTTTGTTTTATTATCGATCTACAAGCTAACTATAGCATACCCGAGACACCCTAAAGTATAAAACTCAACTACAATACCTTTTCATAGGTCAATACTTATTCTATCTCTTGGCAGTCAAATTTATTAGCTGAAACATTCAAACGTTTATCTTCCAGCATCAACGGTAGAATAAAATCCCACACTCACATAGCATACGTTATCGGTCCAACAGATTTTAACTTTGTACGCTCTTTGCTGTTTTAAATAATGCTAAAAGAAATAAGAATTCAAATGAAGGGATGACAACTCGAAAAATTTAAATTTACTTGTTCACCCTATTTATAGAATTGAGAGTATGAACAATAGAAATAACATTTTATAAATCTTATGCGTAAATTCAATTCCATAAAAAAAATATAAAAGAATGCTCTTTACAAAGTAAACAAGACATATACAACAAAAGATGCCTACACAAATCACGTACTACTATTGAGTCATGAGTGTTTGGAAATTTCTCTTCTTTCTTCTTTTTAAAAAAAAAACAGAAAAGAAGAGCACTTACTCGTCGTTTTAACAAATGGATTCTTAGATAATCTCGAAGTGTGTATGTGACTGAAATCGAAAATGATGAACAAGAATGAATGATGATTTGTATATGCTTTTATTCTGCTTGGTTAATATAAGAAAAAAAATGCCGACAAAAACAATGAATTGATCAATTAGTTGGTTTCAAAGAAATAATCTTCAAAGATAATTATAAATATATCATAAGGAAGAAAAAAAAGAAAACATTAGCATAGATAGAAACTATAGAGTAAAATGAAAAGTGAAGCATTACATATAGTCTGGTTACTCGTATTTATCTTACAAAATTTGACATAAAGGAATAATAAACATGACATTTTTTTGTCAGAATATATCATGTTTCTATTTAATTGACGAAATAAAATGCTGGATAATAAGACAATTAGAAGTAACTTTTAACCTATAAGGTTTTCTTCGAGTATTCGTTATACTGGAAGTAGCTAAATGTTACAATAACTCAATAATCGTCTTGTCTTAAAGCTATATAGGAAATACCTTATCATAAATATCATCATAAAAGTTATTAACTATTGTATTTCTATATAAGACGACGCCTACTTTTACGTGGGCAATGAAATATATCCTAACCTATGAAAGACGATAATTGTTTACACTCATTTGACCGTTAATATTGTCGTTCTTAAAAATGTGTGACAGGAAATTATTGATAGACATATGTTGTAGATTTTTTATCTACATCCGATAATGAGTTTACAGTTATATATATATTCATTCAAATGTTTTTATAGACAAAGAAGCATGAACCGAAAGAAGTAAAATAAACTGTACTGGTTTAAAACATGGACATAAAAGAAATGAATAAGACATAGAGATGTATATCAATCAGAAACAGCGAAAGAAAGAAAAAAATTCATGCTACATCGATTTTGAATACATTTCACATTATATTTCTTTTTCATCGTTTTGTATAAAAATAATCAAAATAAAACTTACCGTTTAAAAAATGTCATGAATACCATCGTTTGATGTGTCTTTTTATTGCAGTTGCTTCTTAAAAGATAATTGAAACTGATAAGCAGCGATCAGCAATAATGACAAGAAAAGAAAAACGACATGGGAAGGAAAAAAAAATAGTAGGCACACTCTTAACAACTTATTTTGACAGTAAATTGTCAATTAAAGAATGAGAATGGCATGGCATTGAAAAGAAATCATTTAACACAGAATATAAAAGTGTTCTACCCACTTATATTAATGAAAATTTTCGTTCAATTGGGAAATAGGTTATGTAAATACTTTCTTAAGTATATTGAAGAAGTTTTATGTATCCTAGTCAACTTTAGATCTTATATAATTTTAACCATTTGTTCTTCGATTAATGAAATAAAACAATGTATCTGAATATAAGTTACAAGTGGTAAAGATATGAAAAAAAGAAAAATTTTGTTTTTGATATTTTATTTATCGAAATGTTAATTATATTTTTTTAAATTGTTTCATATTAAGGCAAATGCTTTCAAATATTATAATCTACAAGAAGGGGAGTGTAGGTTTTTTTTTTTTTTATAAAAATCAGAAATTCATTTTCTTATCAAAACTTTTCAAGAATGTTACTTTTTTGGGTACTGGGGTGAATTTTAATGAATGCTAACAAAAAGAAAAAAACACTATAAAAAGATTTAAGATTTTGTGCTAAGAGCTTCAAGATTCACAATAAAAAAAAAAACATAACCAATTCAATTTTCGAGAATATAATTGAATCTGTTTTTGTTTCTTTAGAGTAATTATGAATAGTTAAAAAAGCACTCATCTTTTTTTTTCTCAAATTTCATTTTATATTGTCAATGGTAGTTCTTAATTTGAGAAATACTTTTCAATTAAAGATTTGGGTAAAGCGAAACATAACTAATATTTTATTGAGGATCTCGTAGAACTCAGTAGTCAGATTGAAATATCAAGTCGTTGCAAAACTATATGGAAACTCCTTCCTTCCCTTCCATTTACAAACGGTTACTACTGCTGCTTGAAATAGAATTTAAGTCTCTTCGAGAAGCATTATCAGAGGATTTCCGTCTCCTCTGCTGACATGGTCAGGGGCTGATCTCCCCTTGGAGGTTCCTTCCGATTACTCCGCTAGCATCAAGAGATATGCTCTTTATAGAATATGTCAAAGACGTAAATAGAAATTTAAAGATGAAAAAATGAATTGAACTTTCAAATCTTACTTTCAAATTTCTTTCGTCCAAAATAAACGTGTCCGACTCTTGAAATGCAGTGGAATAAGAACTGACTTCTACGAATGCTTTTCTTCTTTTTTTTTTTTTTTTGTCTTTTATTAAACTATTTAATTATAAAAAGCAATCTCGATGACAAGTAAAATCTATTCTTTTTATTAATAAAAATGAGAAGAAAGCAATGTGTGAAGTCGCTCGCCAATATTTTATTTTGAAGTAAATGTAATAACGATATTGTTTTTTCTTCTTTCTTGCTTCTATTCACTAACAAAAGTTGACGGACTTCTAAATATCATGAATACACAATTGAAGTAGCTGCTCGTTGCACCTTATCACTATTATATTGCTATTTTCAATTATTCTTTTTTTTTTCTTTTTATTTTACAAGAACAGTTGAAGTTCACAAGAACAACTAGACATAAAATATAAGTATCATTGAGTTTTTTAATCATATCGAAATTCTTGTTTTTTTTCCTCTTCTGTACACATTGAACAAGAAAACATACAAATATCAATACACTTTAACAAAAGAATGTATAAAATAATTCAATCAATCACATATAGTTTGTTCAATGTTATTCTCAATTGTATTTGGCATAACAACATGAACATCAATTCGATCGAGACCTGTTTCATCCGTATTATGAACAAATAATAAATGACCTTCATCAATTCGACCAAGAAGATTTCCTAATTCATCTATATTTGTTATGGAACTCTATAGAAAAAAAAATAATAACATATCATTAAAATGAATATTTCAAAATTCGAGTACTTACATCTATAGTAGTTTCGTCATTTTGAGTTGATGGGATACTAAAAATAAAACACAAAGGAAGTAGACGTTATATGTTATTTTCAACATTCTAATAATAAATTCATATCGGCTGAGTTAGTTCAAAATGGATAGATTGCACTTAGGAAACTGTCAGTATCAAAGATTTCATGTAATTACTATCACCCACATAAAAAGAAAACTACATCTTGTGTTCTGACAGGCATGTTTTCTTTTTAGAAGATTAATGTGATGTGATAGAATCAAATATTCCAAAAGACAAATCCTATTATTCTTATATATAACACTACGATGATTTATGACGTCACTACGTCAAAAATTTGATTATCAAATATAAACTGAATGATTAAATAAGTTGTAAACGTCTTCTCAGAATTACACAAATAGAATATTACTCTAACGAATATACGAAGTGTCTCATTATATGAAAGTCTTTGCAATAAAAATTTTTTTTTACTTTGACATGATTACTTATTGTCTGAGTATACATCTAATCATTACATACGAGTATGATTTATAAGCAATCCGAGTTTCATTTGACAAAATCTGAAATGAAGTTATTCGTTCCAGTACTTGGAAAACAAGTTGAATTTCTTTAAAATCAAGGTTAAAAATTAATATAAAATT